TTTATATATCCCGCCCATCTGATCAATTGACCACTCTGGGTGGCTAACAACACTTAAAATAAAACAATTTAAATATAACATGTATATAACATCAATAATCAATTGTTCAAAATGGAAAGAAAAAAAAAACTTAAATCAAATAGTGGCTGGAGGGAAGGCCTGCTTAAACAGCCAAGTTATCAATTGGCTTTTGAAAATGCCCATCGAAGGGGCCATACTAATCTCAGGAGGGAGTTTATTCCAAAGGCGAGGAGCCACTGCTGAGAAGGCCCGGTTTCTTGTTTTTTCCTTCCGGGCCTCCCTCGGCGTTAGGCTCCTCAGCCTCATTTCCTGCTAGATTAAGTAATACGGGTAGATTTTGTAAAAACTAGGAGCCATGTTGATCCATATCAACAAACTACCAGTTCCATCAGAAGCAGGTCTTTTGTAAAGCCAATAGGTCTTAATTGTTCATTCAAGACCAACCCAGCCCAAATTCTTTGTACAGTATTACAAGGGAGTCAATCTGGAGAAAGCTTTAATGCAGTCAATTTGGCCTCATACCTGCAAAAGGAATTCCAGTTGGGCACAGAACTGTTGCAGCTCCTGACTACCATCTGTCACTGGTAGCCCTTGTTCATGGTAATTTGCATTTAACTCAGTCACAACATCTAGACAAAGGGAGGACTGTGATTAGTCACCTTTTCAAATATAAAATGCCCTGCTACTGTATGACATCTTTTGAAGCTAAACTTGGCCAGGAAGTGCCAAGAGATTTGTAGGCATACATCCTTTTGGCAGCGACTTCTTTGTCTGTATCTCCTTATGCCCTAATTGATTTCTCCAGAACTCCACTCTTGGGCTTCTAAAGGAAATAAGAGATTTCCACCAAAGTCTATTACTTTATGCTCTATCAGTGCATTGGCTGTTGGCTGGAATCCAATAACTCCTCTGACCAAACAGATTCAAGTAGCAATTTAAATCCAACACAGTAAAACTTTATTTTCAAGTCTTCACCACAACATAAATAATGCTAGATTAACTCTTAAACAACCTTACCTCTAGTAACCCTTTCCTGAACTCCGAAGCCAACTGTTCCCTTTGTGTAAAGACATGCCATCACTCAACATCTTATTATTTTACCCTCCTTCTCTCTTTCCACCACCACTACCAACAACAACAACGACCTCTCCTTTATCTAAGGGCCACTCCACAACAACACCCTCCCACTGTACTCTGAGGATGGTCAAAGGCTGAGCTCAAGAGAGGGTGGACGCCAATGCTGTCTGTCCTAGTGTCATAGCAGCACTGAGAAACCAGAGGGGGGCAGTTATATTATCATGCTCAACAGAACCCAGCTATTTTTATAAGTAAATAGGAATTAACTGAAATAAGAACAAGCAGCAGTAAACTGAAGCAACAAGGTTGCCAAGATGACTGGTGTGACTGGGTGGCCATATGTCCCTCTTTAGGGAAGGTGACCTTCTATTTGACCAGCTGTCCACCTTTCTAGTGGTGGGTAAGTGGCTACTCAACCCCCCACCCCACCCTCAAGTTTCTATGGCTGAGCAGGGAAAGCAAGGCCTTTATTAGTAAATGTTTCTTATCGGTTCTCTCTCACTTTTTAGAAATATAATGGTTTTGTGTAGGTAGAGGACATTTTCTGGCTCCAAAGTGGTTACCTAGCCACAATCTTGTGCTATAAGGTGAGCTGTAGTATTTCCACTTAAATTGTAACTATAATGTTCTAATTGAGATGACATGAGCCTCGTGGCGTAGTGGTTAAAACGCTGTACTGCAGCTAAAACTGTGCTCACGATCTGGGGTTCAAATCCCAGGTAGCCGGCTCAAGGTTGACTCAGCCTTCCATCCTTCCGAGGTCGGTAAAATGAGTACCCAGCTTGCTGGGGTGGCAATGTGTAGCCTGTATAATGAAATTGTAAACCCCCCGGAGAGTGCTTGTAGCACTATGGGGCGGTATATAAGTCCAAAAATAAATAAATAAAAATAAATACATTTGCATATGTTAGTTTAAATGAGCCTATGCAGAACTAATATCCTTTTTGTGAAGAATGTCATTTGGTGTTCCTTGTTCTGCGTGTCCTCCTTTGTGATGATGGAGCAGTGGCAATGCTAGGTGGTAACAGAATGTAGCCAACCCAGTTTGAAAAGGACCAGAACGATGTAACCCTGTTCCACAAACACACACTCTCAGATGACTTACGAAGGGCTTTTCATATTCTGGAGGCTGGGACTTCTTGGTACTGGTATAGAGACCATAAGAAGTGCTGTGCAGAATCAGGCCAAAGACCTCTCAGTCTAGAGAGTCCCCTACAAAGGAGGAGCAGGGGCTGCTCTCAGTCATCCCTGAGTGCAGGACATGTAATAACAGTCTCAAGTTAGAGAAAGCCAGATTTCAGTTGAATATCAGGAAAAACCTCCTACTTTTTACAGCAGTAGACCAATGGAACCAACTACCTTGAGGGTGGGGGGAGCTCTCCAACCCTAGGAGGCATCCAAAAGCAAGTTAGACAGCCCTCTGTCTAATATAGTCTGGATTCCTGCATTGAGCAGGACGTTGGACTGGATGGTCTTAGGGGGTCTGTGAAGGGATGTTCTTCTCATTAGGACTTGCCCTCTCATCTTACAAAACCCGAAATCTAAAGGAATGGGATACTACAGTAGTACATCCAAAGATATATGTTGGTGGCCATCAGAGTCCAATGATAACTAGAGGGCCACAGGTTCCTCACTCACCTGACAGCCCTACCCCTCTACTAGTACATCCAAAGATATATGTTGGTGACCATCAGAGTCCAACGATAACTAGAGGGCCACAGGTTCCTCACTCCAGTTCTTGAGTCCCTTACACCTGAATGCCACAGTAGTGCTCGGTAGGTAAATAATGACAAATTCAGTTTCTGGCACTTCCAGCTAAAGCAGAGGTGGGAAGCCTTTGGGCTTTGGGGATAGAATCCCATCAGTAACTACAGAGGGTAACTCGAAGGGTGGCTTGCATGCAGAGTTCCAACAGAGTTGGCAGGGTGGATTGCTCTGTTATTGTATTGATTTTCTCTGCCTTGGAGTTTACCCATTCAGTGGCGATTGCCCCATTGAAACCAATGGGGTTTACACATACCCAATGGAGGTAGTTAGTTCCCCCTGGCATAGCTGATGTATCAAAGACAGAAGGACATTGCATGAATGGAAAAAAGCACTCAGGATTTCACCCAGTTCTGAACTACAAATCACACAATTCCTTATCATTGAGACTTCTGAGAAGCTCAAGACATTTGGAGAGGCAAAGGTTGGAAATTCATAGAGCAGGTGGGACAATGATTGTTCTTTGAAACCTATTGAGCTGGACCATGGAATGTTGCCAGGATAAATAGGAACTGGCCAGGTAAATAACTGAACTGATTTGTTTCTTTTCTGTTCTACATCCACATGCGCTACAATAAAATCAATAACATAAAACATTAATTTAATCACAACTTAATATTACATATATATGATAGAATGATAGATACACTCCTGTTGTCAAATGTATTTTACACACTACATTGTCAATGAGTGAAATTAATCAATTCTTTATGTATATAACACAAAATATTCCTCCTACCCTTGTGGTACATATATACAACTCTGGGCAGATAACAACAACAATTAAAACTGTATGTTTTAATATTCTGGAAGATTCCAGAACACTAACAACAGCAATAATAATGTGATCAAATCAGGCAGATTTTATTTGTATTAAAATAATGCAAGTAATTGAGAAATATGGCCAGACTCAAAATCAGTTGTGGCCCTCCAGATATTTTTGGATTCAAGCTCATAGAGTCCTTCACAATTCACTATATTGTTCAGGGCTTGTGGGAGTTCAAAAGGGGAAAAAGGCTGGAGGGCCAAAGTAATCCACCCATCTTCAAAATATACCTCATATAAAAGTCACTGGGTGTGACAATGCTCACAGGAGAGGAGGAAGCAGAAGGTGGTTTTCCATGACACACTTACTTTTTAAGTCCTTGATGACATGAAGAAGCTCTCTGGAACTCTCCATGGCTCTGCTTCACTTTGTCTGCAAAGGGAAGTGCCACTCATTAAGGGGATGGTGCAGCATCCATATAAATTACTGCTATTTCAGTGTGCTTATTCATGTCCATCTCATTGTCCCTCCCCTCCTCTAGCCCTTATCCAAGAAATAGGGGATTGTAAAGCAGGGAGCTGTATCACACATGAATCCCAATCATCCCCTACTCACCTTTTCTGTCGCTCCTTCTTCCATGAACAATGTAGATGGATGTGTGTGTGCAAAGCAACTGCTCTTCTCCCTTCAACTCTTTCTAGAACCTCCAGTGTTGATCAGTGGTCCTGGAGAAACAAGGGGACCTTCAGGGGACAATGATATCAAAAGAAAAGCATGAACGTGTAGTAGTAGTCATTCCATTATTCCATGGGAAGTGCACGCATGGGTTCATAGGCATTCCTCAGTCTCGAGAGACTATGGTAACGTGCTCTGTATGGAGGACTTGGAACAGAGTTGTGTTTTGACGCTGTACGCAAAGCTGGAGTGTCCTCTCCAGGGCACGAAGCCTGGGTAAAATAATATGGAGGATAGGTTGTTACCCAAGCAGCAATGGAAATTTATTGGGAAGTTGCAATTGTATCTATTTCCTGAACATCTTACATATGTTTTTAGGGAAGGAACGATTGCTCAGAATCTTGAGTCTTTTCTGGGTGGGGAAGGAAAACTGAACATCCATGTTTTTCCTTCAGCATTAGACCAATTCTAATCACAACTGAGAATGCACCTGCAAAATTATTACCCCTAAGGGTAAGCATGTGTTTTTGGAGACCAAGATCAAAGATCATTCACACTACAATATTCCCAGCCCTAATGTGTGGATTTGACAGATGGAGGGAAAGCTGACCAGAAAAAAAAAACTGAAATGTGGTTTGGAGGAGAGCTTCACATATGCCAGGGAGTGTCAGAAATCCAAATAAATGATTTCTACATCCGACCAAGCCTGAAATCTCATTAGAAACTAAAATGACTAAACTGAAGCTATCATAACTTCAGACATATCATGAGAAGACAAGATTCATTGGAAAAGACGCTGAGAAAAGGTAAGGGCAGTAGGATAAGAGGAAGAGCTAACCAGAGATGAATTGATTCAGTATAGGAAGCCATGGTCTCTAGTTAGGGCTGCTAACAACAGAACCTTTTGAAGATCATTAATTCATAGGACTTTGATGACACCAGACTCCCCTCACAGAAAAGAAAAATTACTTCATTTTGGAGTACAACTAAATTACTCCAGCCAGTATAGCCCCTGATCCCCACACGGGGATAACAATGAAGCCATTCAATGCTTCATCTATGCTGTCAGGGATGGTTTAACTGTGAATTCCTGCATTAGCAGGATGGTCTAAATGACTCTCAGGATCCCTTCCACCTCTACAGTTCTATGATTTATAATTCTCATATTCAAAAATCTTCACATCCAGCCTTGTCCTATTCTGCTACCTCAGGTAAAGAAAAGGTTGATACCTTCCTTCTACCCTGTTTCCCCGAAAATAAGACAGGGTCTTATATTAATTTTTGCTACCAAAAAAAAACGCATTAGGGCTTATTTTTCAGGGAATGTTTTATTGTTTTCATGTACAACAATCTACATTGATTCAAATGCAGTCCTGTCATCATCTTCCGGTTGCTGCACAATGGTGGAGGGTGAGGTTTCAATTAACTAGGGCTTATTTTTGGGGGGGCTCATATTACGAACATCCTGAAAAATCATACTAGGGCTTATTTTCAGGTTAGGTCTTATTTTCAGGGAAACAGGGTATGTACGAAGTCCAGAATATTGGCATCAATATTAACAATGGATTATCATACTCTATTAGCCAACCATCAGCACAGCATTTAAACAGTGCAGGGTGGATGTTGTGGCATACAGCTCCGAAACTTTGCTGCGCCATCCCACAACCACTGCTGGCTAAAGCACCTATCACGTTCTACCTAATGGTAGTGCTAGCTTTGTTCGGTCCTCCTGCTGAATCCCTTGATTTTCACAAATGTATGAAAAGTGTCAGAGATCTCTCAGTCCTGCCACAGACTCAATTTTTACCCCATTCCTGCATGCGCAGTCCTCTCGAGGCTCCACACTCCACACCCCAGGGAGCCTTAGCATGCGGGGACCTCTCAAGAGTAAAAGCAACAGGAAAAATGACACCCCAAGAAACCTGAGGATTAGTCATAGTGCCTACAGGATAGACCATTGGTCTAGATGGGTGGGATAGAAATAATAATAAATAACTAAATAAATAGTCTCTAACCTCCAATTGAGGACAAGGCCATGCACTGGAATTGCAGCAGTTAAGACAGCTTCACAGAGCTGAAGCTTGCCTTCAGACAACCTGGGATTCCTGCATTTTCCCTAGTTTTCTCTACAGTACTTTTACACAGTCCCAAACCTGACCTCACGTACCTGAGAAGCTGGAATTCTACAATGCACTGTATAAAGGCTGGCTCCTTGAACAGCTTGTGCCTGTGGGCTCATCCAGCCAGACTAAGGTGGCTTGTATGAGGAGCTTCCTCTTTCGCCTGGGAGTCATTTCTTTCCAAAGGCAAAAATATGACACTCCGGCAGATGAGGAAATCCCCGGATTCCAGGAAGGGCAACAGAGACCAAGGCCTGGTCTTAGCACAGCTAGTATGCCTATGCACATCCAGTCCACAAAGGGTCACATGTGCTTTCCTGAATTTAATCTCACCTTAGGCGGGCAAGACAACAGTCTTGGGCAGCAGGCCCTGAGAGGCAGAAATGGTTAGCTTTTCCCTGTGCCTCCTTATCCTCCTGGAGGATTTATTCCCTTAAACTGCCCTGCGGCTCTCATATGTGATGGAGATGGAGGCTATTCTAGAACCCTTATTCATACATGTGACATTGATGGAACCAGCTGTATTGGCTCTTGCCTTTCCATTGGACTATTTCAACAATGTGGAGGGGGGATCTGCTGCTTGGGTAACAGCCTATCCTCCATATTATTTTACCCAGTTTACTCCATATTATTTTACCCTATCTCGATGTTGGGGCGCTCACCACTTTGGTGCATGCACTCGTAATCTCAAGATTAGACCACTGTAATGCGCTCTACGTGGGGCTGCCTTTGAGGCTGTTACGGAAACTTCAGGTGGTGCAGAATGCGGCGGCCAGACTCCTCAGTGGGGTGAAAAAATTCCAACACATCTCACCCACTCTGGCCGCATTGCTTTGGCTGCCCATCAGATTCCGACTTCAAAGTGTTGACGCTTACGTACAAAGCCCTAAACGGTTTAGGGCCTCGATACTTGGCGGAACGCCTTCTACCACCAAGATCTACCCGTGTCACTCGCGCGAGCCAGGAGGTGAGGCTGAGGAGCCTAACGCCGAGGGAGGCCCGGAAGGAAAAGACAAGAAATCGGGCCTTCTCGGCGGTGGCTCCTCGCCTCTGGAACAACCTTCCCCCTGATATTCGCGCGGCCCCCTCGCTCGGTATTTTCAAAAAGCAATTAAAAACATTGATGTTTCGGCAGGCCTTCCCTCCTAGTTAATTCCTGATCCCCTTCTCTTTTCTTTCCTAATGTTTTAACCCAATTGTTGAAAGTTTTCTTTTATGTAATTCTGTTGTTTTTATTGTGGTATCCCATGTTGTAAGCCGCCTAGAGTGGTCTATTGACTAGATAGGCAGGATATAAATAAAATAAATAAAAAATAAATAAATAATAAACATGCTCTGGAAAGGACACTCCAGCTTCACATGCAGCGTCCAAGTACTCCATACAGAGCACGTTACCATAGTCTTGAGACTGAAGGATGGTGATTCATCCAGCAGTACCATCAGCCAAAGCCTGTGAAATGGCACGGGGCCACCATCTTGCCTCTGGAGGCAAAATGACATTGGCGGGCCCTGCTGGGCGAGTCCAGCTACCCCCCAATTCAAATGCAAGTGAATGCCATCGCAACCCCAACGGGCACCTCTGGGGAGAGGGGAGGGGCAAATGGCCCTGCTGGCACTCAGGGGCGGGCAAAGGGTGCCCTCCAGACGTTGTTCGACCGCCACCCCTATCAGCCCGAGTCATCATTTCCAATGATGAGGAATGCTGGAAGTTGGGGGTCCGAACCCATCTGGACGGCGGCAGGATGCCCACGCTTGGCTTTTTCCACAGGAGGTCAGGGGCGCCCCGTTACTCGTTAAGGCGATCTGCGCGCTAGGGGGTCGAAGGGCCTGAAACCCCGGAGCAGATTCGAGCCGGACAATTCCGAAACAAGTCCTGCAAGTTCGGAGAGGGGCAAAGTCGACACGGACCGGAAGCCCACACCGCCTCCCTTTTCACTCGTGTTTGCAACCGCCAGCCTCCGCCGGGGCGGGACAGGGCCGGGGCGCGGTAATGGCGCGGCAGGGCGCCCCCCTTTTTTTTGCCGGCCGGACGGAGGGGCACAAGCCCGTTCTTTCGCCCACTTTCCTTTACTTAGAAAGACTCACCCCACGTGACTTCCCCCGCCGAACTTCGGCCCAGGTGGGACGCGAGGGGCGAGGGCTTCCCTCTGGCCATCTGCGCGGGAAGCGCTTCGGAGGGAGCTCGCCCCCCCGGCCCACCTCCGCCTCCACTTCACTTTCCTGGGCTGAAGACGGCCAGTGTTTCTGACGAAGGCGGCACACGCCAGCTTCCTCCCCTGGGAGGAAGGCCGAGCGCGGCCCTCGGGGTGGGTGGGTCCGGCGACCCGGGCGCTCGAGAGGGAGGAAGGAGGTGGCCGCGGCTCATGTGGGTCCTGCGGGGGGGAGGGCGACGAGGTGTATAGCCTTGGGGAGGGGGACCTTTGGCCGCTTCTCCAACCGTTGCCCTCAGCCCTGCCGCCCTCCTAGCCCCCTGGACTCATCCTGCTCCGAACGGCTTAGCGCCGGAGCAGAAGCTGTCAGCTGCATCTCCTTCGGCCCTTGGAGGACCCAAAACTGTCGGGTTGCTGTCCTGAGCGTGCGGAGGGCAGGGACAGTTGCCCTTGCTGCGCACCGGCATGTTGTGGGTTGACATGACTGATGCAGAAGCCTACATAAAATGTTAGGGGGGCCTTCAAACACATTTATTGCAGGGTGAGCTTTTTGTGAGTTGCAGTCTGCTTGATCCGACACATATTTCTGTTTTGCTGGTCACTCTAGTCAAGCATGTTTTAAATAATGAACTCTTAGACTTTAGTCTCTGTTGCACTATCCCAGAACTAAAAAACAAAAACAAAAAAACAAACAAAAAAAAGAATATTCCTTAATTCCCACTCCTCCAGTTGCTGGATACATCAATGGCAATCAAGTCAGTGCTGTGATTCATTAAAAAGGGTCATGAATGTAACTTTTGACTGTTTATTGTGGTTGTTCAAGATGTTATGCCATGTTTCCCAAAAATAAGACAGGGCATCAGGGCATATTTTCAGGGGATGTTTTATTTTACAGTCATGTCATCTATTTGCTGCACAATGCTGCACAATGGTGGAGGGCGGGGTTTCATTTAACTAGGGCTTATGGGGGGGGTAGGGCTTATGTTACAAGCATCCTAAAAAATCTTACTAGGGCTTATTTTTTTGGGGGGTAGGGTTTATGTTACAAGCATCCTGAAAAATCTTACTAGGGCTTATTTTCAGGTTAGGTTTTATTTTCAGGGAAACGGTAGCTTTCCTGAATGATATTTGCTGAACAGGTGATCTGAAGATGGTCACCTGATTGTCCAAAGAGCTAATTCAGGTACCTGGACTTGCTTGGTAGTTGAATGATATTTGCTGAAAAGGTGATCTGAAGATGGTCCCCGATTGTCCAAAGAGATAATTCAGGTACCTGGACTTGCTTGGTAGTATCTCTGACCTGTCTACTCTCGTGGGTCAGTTTTTCTGAAAATACTACTTGCATATTCTGGCAAATTGAAATTATTTTCAAACAAAATACCCTAGTTGCAAAATACCCAAGTTTGGCGTATTTTTATGTTTTGATACAGTAAGCCAGATGGGAGGCTCAGAATGATAGCACTATGTTGTACATTGGAGGGGGAAACTTTCGCTTATTACTATTTACTAATTCCTCAGTTTCGTAGGTATCAGAGTACTCAGAAGTGGTTTACCATTACCTTCTGGGGGTATCCTGGGACTGTGCCGCTTTCCCAAGGCCATACAGGCTAGATCTTGTCCCAGGAAGCACTGTGTGGAATCAAAACACCTGTTTTCTAGCTCTGCAGCCAGGCATCTAAGTACATTGTATTACATTTTGCTTCCTGTGAGATCAAGGAAGAAAAATGGCTCCCCACCCCATGTCCTAATATTCTCGCAACAATAGCCCTCGAAGACGGGTCACACTGAAAAAAGACCAATGGGCACAAAATCGCACAGTTAGTTTCAGGGCCGAATGGGGACTTGAACCTGCAAATTCTAAACCAGAGCCCAACATTCCGTGTAAACACTGTGTAATTCTATTGGTATGTGTTTTTCATAAACAGACTCCAGAATATATGGTTGTGTATGTCTAGTTTAGTTTAGGCCAGAAGTAGCAAAGTGTCTTCTCCCCAGGCTGGTTTTTATTTGTTTGTCTTTTGTTTTTGTTCGGGTGGAGTGCAGCTCTGTGAAGCCTTCAAGAGTGAACATTTGCCTTTGAAATAGATTCCTAGTTCTTCCACACGTTTACCACTTTCAGAGCCATTGCTGCTGCTGCTGTTGTTTATTTCCTGGGCATTTTTAGGGGTCTGCATGGCTCCTGGAGGGTTCTGGAACAGAAGAAAGCTTTCATAGAAGTGGTGGTGTCTGCATGCAGCATACTGTACTTGCCGAGAGTTCCCAAGTACTTTTTCAGGAAGCTTGAAGAAAACAATCCGGCTCCATTTCCTAGTGAGCTCAGCAAAAAACGTGTTTGGATCGATGCATATCGCAGGGGTTGTACTGCCAGCTAGGTCCAACTGAATCTTTGAAACTTAAAGTTAACAGTCCTTTTCATTTCAAAATTCCTGGTAAAATAATTTTTTTAAGTTTTCACTCACTGGAATGAGGAAGTGATTTTTGCAATTTATCTTTGTAAAGGGATAAATTTATTTAATGTAACCACACCTTCTGTGTGGGTGAAAAAGAACTTAAATGCATAATTCTTCTGGGAATGTTCAGGTCGCTTTACTCATCTGACAGAAAGCAACTTTAAGCCTAACCGTGGTTATTCCCTCTGGCTGTGCAGCCAGGCACCCAGTTCACTGAGCTATCGAGCTGGCTACTCCATACCTCTGATCCCACTGTATTCAGTGGGACTCGCACCATGGTGTGTTTAGGATTACTGCTTTCAGCCTCAAATAATCAGTATTTTTTTCTTCTGTTTTAAAAAATACATTTTAGGAGCATGTCTAGTATTTAACATAAGACACAATGGAGAATGTTTAAAGAAGGTCTTTTTCCTGTAAGCTGTGTGGCTACTGCCACCTACTGGACATTGGGGGAAGAGGATAGCTTCAAAAGCCATAGTGGAGAGTCATCGCTGAGTTCAAAGTCAATAAAATGGGGACTTAAGTTTTTTTCCACTCGCTCAAACAACTCATAGTAGTGAAAAATATAGTAAACCAAGATTTCTTTTAATGTTGTTTCATGCCTAACAGGGCAAAATTAGATTTGTCAGTGAGTGTTGTAAGAATATATATATGGTAGTGATTAAACTGTTGGGTTTAAGGGCAAGAAAAGGGAACTTCTCATCCCCAAGTAGTTGTGAAGCTCACTGGGTGCCTTTGGGCCAATCATGCTTTCTTCAGAATAACCTACCTCTCAGGGCTGTTGTAAGGATAAACTAGGATAGTGCTGGTAGACCCTTGTGGGACTGATGAGGGTCCCCCAATGGCGAGAGAGTAGGCTCTCCACCTCTCGAAGAGCAATGGCTGAATTCCCTACCTGTAGCTCACCAGTGGATGGGCGTGGGGGAGGTGGAAATGGAAAACACCCTTGAGGCCACAGGTGTGGCCGTGGTGGGAATCTGTTGGACTTAAGGAGGGAGAGACAGGAGAGGAGAACCATTGAGGAGACCCCATGGACTGGGAGGAAGCATGCGAGGCCCAGAGGATGCTGCCGCTGCTGGAGAAGTTGAAGGCTGAATGGGACGTGGCCTGCAGATGTGATCCTGAGACTGGCTACTGGGCTGAGCTGCTCGTGCCTTCAGAGGAGGCTGCTTAGGTCTGTTGGGACGAGGCAAGGTGTTGCGAGGCCTGGTGTCTCAAGAGCTCGCTACTAATAGAGGAAAAACCGAGAGGAAGCCACCTCAACTGAAGAAACCCCACAGTCTGCCTTCCTTCTGATCTTCAGAAGGTTAGCCTCCTGCTCCACCCTGCTCAACTTTCCGCTACACGGTAGACGGCAGCCAGGTCCACGTAGAGTTTGGCTGGGCCTCTTGGGAGGATTATCGTGCCTATGGGCGGGGTCTGTGGGGGCGTGGCTGCAGAAGGAGCCTTTGCCACCTGTCTCCACGTGCATCCAGCATCCTGTGCCTAGCCCACCTGTGAAGGGTCCTAGACCTGGTAGAGGAGCACTGCACCAAAGACTGAGGTAGTGAAGTCAACTCCCTGGTACCCCGAGTTACTGGTTTTAGGTTAGTGGCCCTGCTGTCCCTTTAGAAGTTCTGTTGCTCAATAAAAGAGCCTGTTCCAGCAGCTACTCTCAGTGTCATCACGGAACGGGCTGGCATTCTGTTCATTCGTTTCGCAAAAGGTGTAACCTTTAGAGGTGTATTCCCTCAAGAGAAGAAATCTCCACAGGTACTATCTATTGCATACTATGTTGCACAACTTGCAGAGATTTCTTCACTTAAGGGAATTAATCTTCCAAAAGTTAACCCTTTTGCATAACTAATGAACATGATTTCAGTCATTAAGTCAATGGAACATAGGCAAGTCAAACTTACTATAAAATTCACTGATATTATGGGTCTACTGTATTCTAGATGAGACAAGTAATTCAGTATAGCCCTTATTTGGTGTTTTAGAAGCCATACTTTAACTGTCTTAGGTGTATTCCTGAGAATACAACATGTGAAATGATCCCCTGAATTCTTTTTAAAAGTTGAGTAGAAAACACAAAGGGCTAGATTATTTGCATAACTGTAGTTAAAATGATCCTCTGAATTCTTTTTAAAAGTTGTAGTGGAGTAGAAAACACTAAGGGCTAGATTATTTGCATAACTGTAGTTGCATTTTTCAGCTAGCAAGGCTCCTGTGCCTTGAACAGCTGTGTGAGAAATAGAAATGTAGCACTTACTTTCTCCCCATGCTGGGAATATCTGCAAGAGGGGAGGATCAGAGTTTACTTTCTGCCTGCCTTGCAGTCATTTCAATGCTGCTCTGAACATATGCTGTTTTGTAATTCTTTTGGTTTCATCCCTCACTATTCTAGCGTTTATTTGTCTGTTTTATGTTTATGGCATAGTAGAACTGCAACCCTTTGCATTCTGACTCTGAAGGGAGGCCCGCTGAGTTCAGTTGGCATAGGGTGTCTCCAGATGGACAGCTCCCATTGCTACCAATCAAAAGGAATTAATTATGTAGATATTAACACTTTTCCTTCTGTAGGCATGTCTTTGTGATGGGAAGAAAGGGAGAAGAAGTGGTGGGCAAACATGAGAGGGACAATTAGCCTGAGCCCCTCTTAAAATTCAGTCTTTGAGGAAAGCATTTGCACAATAAAAGCTCCTCTGATACTGTGCATGGAATTATAAAGGGATATACCCACATTAGACAATGGGGAGGCTAGGGCTGCTGA